GCATTCCATCATAATCCTCAGGGGTGACAACTGACAACGCATTTGCATTTTGATTCTAGATTGGGATAAATGTGGATGTCTATGGGCCACAGCATTTACTTACCATCAGGTGGACTGTGTGCTCGTTTGTCACCCAACGCTATAAAAATTATGTGACTTGTGGAACGGCGAAATTTTCATTCTATTTGTCAGTATAGAAAAGGACGTTATAACAGTTCTAGATAATTATAAATAAAAAATGCGAACAATGCAGTGTTAAATTGACCACTAGTGTCCTTTTCCGTGAAAAATTATGGGTCAGCATTTACCTACTACAATAGAAGAGCTAACCGTATTTGATGAAGAAGACAGTGACTACGATGCTCAATTAAATACGCTTGAAATATAAGGGCAAGAGTTGTGTTTATGTTTTATTTATCATCTCTATCATGATAACCTTTCACTAGTCCCCTGCAAACACAGGCCTCCCTCATGGAATGCCACAAAACACGGTTTTGAGAGGCTTCCTTCCGCTGATATGCTATAATATCGACCAGACCTTCCCTCTATCTACTGGGGGGCCACTCGATAACCTTTCTTACCTTTATATTTTATTAATAAATATAGATATTAAAAAGTAAATATAGAGTTAACAGCGACGGAAATTTGATAAGTAATAAGTTGTTAAACAAACTTACCTGTAAGTGAAATTCGATCTACAATATACGATACATATAATTAAAAAAATTTTGTCTGTATGTTATATTGAAATATCAAGCTATTCCATTAAGCTCAGGGGTTTATTTTGATGTCAAGAAGACATAAATAATTTTTAAAATATTTGTCTGCCTTAGAAATGGCAGAACCGGTTCTGATGAAACAGACAAATAGAGTAATACTAGGCTGGATCAGCTATATTAAATCGAATATCTTGAAGATTTTGATGGAAGAATTGATATAATAAATGGTCTTTGAATATTCAAAATCTAAATATATGTTCTATCCGGGCGGAGCAGGAGCGAGTGTCTATTTATTAAACGAAGACTCACGTACTTTGATGAACATTCCAGACATTTCAAGACATTTTTTCTCTCTAGGGCATGTCATACTAAAAAGACTTGCTTAGTTTAAACAAAATGTGAGAGGCAGATAGCATTCAGCAACAATATCGGTGAATATCTTCAGATTATGTTTTATTAAGGTTTTATATTTCGTGTCACTAGATTCTTCCGAGGCTAGTAATTACTTAAATACTCAAACGTAGTGCGATTATCGAAAGACATTTAATAAAATGTAATATTTTTGTGTGACTTTCTGAAACAATTCGATTCCTTATGACACTTCAACACGTGCTTTAGCCTCTCTCTTGTGAAATCGACATGAGATTTTCATATAAACTAGCTTCAATATTTCAATACTTCGAAACTTTCCAGTCCCATATAGCAAATACAAACAAAATAACGGACAAAATATTGGATTCGAAGTTGAAAGTGACAGCGATTGGTACTATCCTGAGTTTTACTTTGTTGCACAACACTTCTTAACGCTGTTATATAGTCTAAATAGTATTTAAGAATTTAAATATTTTACGCAATGCCTTGGAAAACGCAAAATGGCACTGGCATGCAGTGAACTTTATTTATTTTCAATACACATCGACTATTGAGACACGAAAAAAGCCTATCTGAGTACAGAATCACCAAAGATGATGTGAAAGATGTCGTGAGTTAGAATTCCAGTCAAAATAATATCTGTTTCTAGGGCAGGCGAAAAACTGTACTGACATCCGGGAGGGGAGGGACATTGTACCACCTACCACCCTACCTTTTTGTAATTTTTTTATCAATTTTGATGTCTATTTCACCTTCTGCCTTACTTATATTATTAATATTATGAACCGTTGTTTCTTTGCAAGAAAATATTAATTAAGTATCTGATTGGCCATATCAGTAAATTAACTTTATAATATGTCCTTGATTTTATATTTAAATGATTATTGCTTATAAAATACAAAAAAAAAAAACAAATATATCACAAGAAAATAGAAATCACACTTCTGACTGTGGTGATTTTGAGCGTCTCAACTGGTCTCAACTAAAAGAAAAACACCAGGATACACGCAGAGTGTAGTGAGAACGCGTCTCTCACTGTGGTAGACTCGTTCACTCTCACTCGTCATCTCTCATACTACGTTATGCAGTAAGAAGTGTGAGCGATAAAGAAATGTCTGTAAAGCGATACTTATCGTTTTCTGCAGACGTAACATAATACTAAATGCTTTGTCTGGTTTTCCGCCTGTTTAATGTCAATGTTCTATTCGTGTTTTGTATTTAGACAGACGTATTGTTGTCCGCTACTTGTCATCAACGCTTTATTTTTTTAAATATTTCGTAACAACAACAATCGTAACCATGTATCGGTGGTGTAAGAATATCCAATACCCCTAAGCCTTCCGTCTTAAGAGGCGACAGTGTAAACAGAAACAGGGGATGAACAGCAGCATCTACTTGATCACAACTCAAAGTTATGAAAAATTGTGTAATTGTCCCTGAGCACAGGCCTCCTTCATAGATTGCCTTATAGGGGAGACATTTGCCATTGTTGCATCGCATCGCATACCGTTTGGCAACCGCGGTTTTATTTAGTCTTTATTAGGAATACGCTGCTGCCCATCTCCTGATTTGATTTCCTCTGTCGCCTCTTACGACACCCACGGGATGATATGATTCCTTTAATTCAAAAAATCAGACGTGCTTGTTCTCTCTGAGCTAAGGACTTTTGACGACTTGCACTAAATAACTTAAAAATGGCATCAAAGGCTTAATTAGCTTGTGTTTACTCCGTATCTTGGTTGATGATGATGTCGCCGTTACTGGTGAAAAGATCTCCACTATTCTGTTGCGTCGCGAACGCGCGATCGACAGGTTGCGCACGAGATCAAAAATGGATGCCGTGAAGTGTAAGGAGTGTAATATTATTATAAACGAAGTGCTAGCATACTTGCAGAATAAGTTAGAGGTGTTAACTGAAGATCAAATTGTGAGAATATGTTCAAGTGGTTTTTCTGCGGAAGATATTGAGAAGGCAAATTTTTTATTATTTTCTTCGGTGACATCGTCATCAACGAGTTGACGTGTGAGAAAGGGCTATGGAAAACATGTTCGAGATATAGAAGATATGACTGCATTTTTTAAGGGCAATGATACAGAATTATTTCCTATATTTGTTGATAGGGACTTGAATAAATTACCCCCTGTTAGCTACGATCATATAGATGTGACAAAATTGGTCAAGGATATACAAATATTAAAAGCGGAAATTTCTTACATAAAAGAATCCTATGATACCACAGAAGAAGTTAATAATCGTGTACAAGAATTAAAGAAACAAATTTGTGCCCCGACAAATCTTTTGGATGTAAGCGTTAGCAAAAAAAATTGGAGGGTATCTGTTTGATAGCGGACCGACTGCGCTATCGTATAATGAACAATATGAATGCAGTAACAACGAACCCAGCGCCCCTACGATACAAACTCACTCGAACACTGAAGCTGCGACGACGATGCCGGTGCTGTCTAATATAGCGTCTCGAGGCGCTAAACCTACACGTGTTTCGCCACCGCCGCCGCTGAGATCGCCACCAGTGAGTACGGTAGTAGGGGCTAATGCAAAGGAATGCACATTACCGAATGTAAACAAACCTAGATGGCAGAAATGGTACGTAATGAAAGAGAATGGAAAATAGACCGACCAGCGAACGAGTGGATTATGGTACAGAGGAAAAGATATAGAAATCGTTTTATAGGGCAGAAAGGGAAAGCAAGTGTTCAGTCCACTGAAAAGTTTAAAGCTGCGGATATAAAAGTTCCTTTGTTTATCTCTAATGTCCATAAAGACTCCGCCGAAACGGACATTATTAATTATATACGAGAAAAAACTAATGAAATTGTAAGCTTACAAAAGATTGATATGAAACAGGATAAAGGGTACAATAGTTACAAATTATTGGTGTCTAAACATAGAGTCAACACTTTTTTGGATGATAATTTGTGGCCGGATGGAATCTCTTTCAGAAGATTCGTTCATTTAAGGAATAAGAAAGAGAAATAGGTTTTTATGTTAATACCGTTTAAAGAATATAATGGATAATAATTTCAAATTAATAACAAGCATTTCAACATTGCAAGAATATTAAGCGTTCCGAGGCACGCGTGAGGTCACTGTGTCAGTCAGCTGACATTGTAGCGCTGCAAGAGACGTGGTTGCTGTGTGATGATCTTCCTTTTTTGAATACTATTAGCGATGAGTTCGCGGGCACCGGCACGTCGGCAGTTAATACGTCTGCTGGCTTGCTTCGCGGCAGGCCGTATGGGGGTGTTGTGATCTTGTGGCGTAAGGTGGCGTTTACTTCAGTGACAGTGATCGACTGTGAAAATCCTAGGGTATGTGCAATAATGGCCGTTAGTGGTGACCGATCCATATTGGTATTCAGTATTTATATGCCAGTGGATAAATATGAAAACCTAATTGAGTTCACGGAGTGTTTAGGTAGAATTAGTGCTATCATTGAAAGTTGTGCGATAGAAACAGTTTACATTGTTGGTGATTTCAATGCTCACCCAGGTGAGCTATTTGGTGATGAATTATTAAAGTTTTGTACGGATCAGTGTTGGCAGTACGCTGATATGGACAAACTCGGTATGTACTCTGACTCTTTTACATATGTAAGTGATGCACACGGTAGTAGAAGATGGCTCAGACTACTACTGCCGCTTACCAAACTGTGCGCAGTGTTGAAATTTTACACAGTATTTATTGGTCGGATCATTTCCCTTTAAGTACACTTGTGACCTAGCAATTGTGAGGTCTAAAATACCTCAAAATATTGTTAAGAATAGTAAAATAATATGGACCAACAGAAAACCACATCAAATACTCAAATATAAAGAACATTGTAATTCGAAATTTAGAGATATGCATTTACCGGTAGAGTTTTGCCATTGTTGTGTTCGTATGTGTACATGTATAGATCAACCAAAGAGACTTTAGATAAGATGTATGAGGCTATAGTAAATACCTTAAGCGAGGCCGCAATTATGACATATGAAGGTAGTGCCATTACTGGAAAAAAGAAAACTGTAGTCGGATGGAATAAATATGTAAAAGATGCTCATAGGGAGTCCAGGATTCAATTTGAAAATTGGTTACAATGTGGCAAACCTAAAGGGGGCATTGTGTATGATCGTATGTGTGAGAGCAGACGTCAATTTAAATCTAAGTTAAAATGGTGCCAGAATCGGGAAGAACAAATTAAAATGGAAATAATAGCTACTCAACATTGTAATAAGGACTTCAAAAATTTTTGGAAATCCACAAATAAATTAAATGTGCGGCCTGGTCTTCCTGTGAGCATTGGGAACACTAATGATAAAAAGAGATTGTTGAAAATCCCCCCAAATCCTAAGCCTTCGACACAAACCCGGTTCGCTTCACAGCTAAACAGGTGGGTGCAGTGATTATGAACATGAAAAGGGGGAGGTCTCCTGGGTATGATGATCTTAGCATTGAGCATTTGCAACATGCTGGTGGCCATCTACCTAGGGTTTTGGGTTTGTTCTTTTCACTGTGCCTACGACATAGATATCTACCTAATAATATAATGAGGACTATTGTGGTGGTCTACTTGATACGTATTTAAGAAAATATTTGCAGCTACACGATGCTCAATTTGGTTTCCGGACTGGGCTTTCAACAGAAAGTGCCATCTTGGCCCTTAAGCGAACCGTTGAGTACTACACGGACGGAAAAACACCTGTGTATGCCTGTTTTCTAGACTTGTCAAAAGCCTTCGATATGGTTTCCTATGAAATATTGTGGAGTAAGTTGAGGAAAACCGGAATACCTGCTGAACTTGTTGCCATGTTCGAGTATTGGTACAACTATCAAATAAATAATGTCAAATGGGCGGATACGTTTTCCGATCCGTATATGCTAGAATATGGGGTGAGACAAGGGGGTTTAAGCTCACCGAACCTATTCAGCCTGTAAATTAATGACCTAATCGGTGAATTGAGCAGCATGTATATCGGATGCTATGTAGATGAGAGGAGTTTGTTTAAACAATTTAAGTTATGAAGATGAGCGGATGATATGGTGCTGCTGGCCCCGTCTGTTAGTGCTCTTAGAAAATTGTTACGATTTTGTGAGGATTATGCTGTTAGACATGGTTTAGTATACAATGTTAAGAAAAGTCAGTTTATGGTATTTAGAGCTGGAAAAAAGTGTCTGAAGAATATGCCTCCTATTTTGCTTAACGGCACTGCCCTAGGAAGAGTAAAAGAGTTTAAATATCTAGGCCACTACATAACTGAAAATTGCAAAGATGATATGGACATCGAGAGGGAGCGAAGGGCACTGTCGATCCGTGGAAATATGTTAATTCGTAGGTTTGCGCGGTGCAGCAAGGAAGTTAAGATTACACTCTTCAAAACCTATTGTCAATCTTTTTACGCATGCAGCTTATGGACAACGTATACAAAGCGCGCTTACAGTGACTTTCGTGTTTTATATAATAACATTTTCAGGGTCATGTTGGGGCTGCCTCGATTTTGTAGCGCATCAGGGATGTTTGCAGAAACACGAACAGATGAATTCTTCGCAATAATGCGTAAAAGAGTGTACTCGCTGTTGAGCAGAATACGTGGCAGCCGCAACAGTATAATGACCGTGTTCGCCGAAAGATGTGACGGGCGTATGCTAGATTATTGGAACGATTTGTTGAAAAGTGACTACTCATATTTAAGAAACTAACATTAGTGTTTAAGGTGCACAATTACTAACAACTTATATGGATCTATGTCTGAAATAAAAGAGTTATTATTATTATTATTATTCTTAAAGCCGCCGCCGTTGATGTAGAGCTATATTGGCCAGGCTTATTCGCAAAGGCCTTTGAAGGTGTAAACATGCGTGACCTCATCACAAACATCGGATCTGGAGTTGGAGCTGCTCCTGCGGTTGATGGTGCACCTGCTGCTGCTTCAGCTGCGGCCCCGGCAGCAGAACCCGCCAAGGAAGAGAAAAAGGAGGAAGAACCTGAGGAGATGGGCTTCGGTCTCTTTGACTAAAGAGCTTTATCTTTAAGCTGTGGTATTCCATTGTAAGCTGTATGAAGCTTGTGTAATTATAAGAAAATTTACTTTATTATTAAAAAAAGGTTATTCTTACAAAGCTACTGCACGGCCCACACAAAGCCAAAGATGTGCTATAATCCCCTGTGGACTAAGATGAAGTACCTCACAATCTGTAATTCTACTGGCTAGGTTACCTTTGAAACTAGAACACAAGAATAGATGTAACTGCTGCATAACGACTAAATATGGGTAGTATCAAGCAAATCAAATATTGTAAAAATCTATAAGCTCATTTTCGCTCTCTTATTTCATAAGCGATCGAAATACGATGATTTATTTTATAAACCGGTAACGGTAATATGAATCCCCACTCTTATCCTCACTCTCCTTTAGGAGTATAGTGCTGGGCATGGAACTCAGGAGGATTTGTCGTTATCACCTTTATAAGCAGAATGGGTACACTCAGAATACTATAATACATACATAAAATACTCTATGGGTACACTATACTCACAATTTGGTTACAGTGTCATCACGCACTTGACGTTACTCCATTCGCATGACTGGACATTTTGCATTATATTAATATGGAATATTATGAGATACTTATACCGCCATTTGGGAATTTGTCTTACGACCCTTTGGGAACAAGATAGTTTGATGGATTCGTTTTCTCTTTCACTTCATGTCGAATACGGCCACTTAAATTTGTAATGATGTATTATTACGTTTAAGTAATTATTATATTTAAGAATTATTATGTTTAAATATATTTAAAAAAATATTTTACACCTTACCGGCAGTCCACAGATAATACTAAATCATTTACTAAATCGTACATATTGTCACAGTAAAATAGAATGGTTCGAAATATTCAATTATTTGATTTATGCGGTTTATTCGACAAAGCACTTTGTACCTTCCACTTAATTACATAGCACTGTTTGAATACCCAGTTTTAATTTATTAAGCAGAGGATGTTATTAATAATTATTAATTGGCACGTTCCTCGTAAACCGATATTCTAAAATTTCATGTTGTCATACGTATATTTTATTTATTCACAGCAAGAAATTTTTTATCAATACACATAAATAAAATTTCGGTGTCTATTTTATTTACAAATTTTTAGTTTACATATTTTGTATTGTATATATGATATTTTGAAACGAGTCTAATGGACGCCACACACGGCCAGTTCAACTGATCATTCCATCTGATCAGTTCAAACTAAAACTGTTGTTATTTTTTTAAATATTGAATATTTGATAAGTTTATAACAGCTTTAGTTTAAACTGATCAGTTGAAATGATGAGTTGAACTGACAGTGTGTGGCGTCCATTAGACTCGTGTTAAAAATATCTTGTTCTTCCTAACCGAGGCGCATGCGTCCTCGTCGGCTGATGCTTCGTATCTTTTCTGCCCAGGGAACAAATTAGAACACTCCTCTGAGCCTCGGGCTAGAGGATGAGAATACGTCAGAGCCCTGGCAAATTGAAAGTCAAAAATACAGCGACAACTATCCCCACGTCTACGGGTGCTTTTATAGGTCCCACAGCGATAATGCCGACACCAAAGTCAAATGGGCTGAAGGAGTCTTCTACTTCATACGTGTAGTCCCGAACTCATGGAAGACAGCTTCGTTGCACCCGATCCGTTGCAACCGTTCAGTACCGTTAAACTAAAGACCTATCGCCATCACCTCCTTGTACTCCAAAATAATGGAAGCCGTTATAAACTGCCAGCTCATGAGGTACCTTGAGGAATACCAGCTGATTAGTGACTGTCAGTACGGTATTCATTGGGGTCGTTCAGCTAGAGATCTTCTGGCTTACTACACTCATAGATGGGCAAAGGCAGTAGAGTTTAAGGGGGAGATCCTGTACCTTAGTTGAACAATGCAAAGGCCTTCAATCAGATTTCACACAAAGCGCTTCTTTTGAAGCTACCTTTCTTTTTTTTTCTTTTTTTATAGGATAGGACAAACGAGCACACAGTTCACCTGATGGTAAGTGGTTGCCCATAGACATCTACATCTATCCTCGATTACGTCTCCGGTTCTCTACATTCACCATACGAAACACAGCAGCATTAAGAACCTATTTGACGCTGGTATTCAGTGAGAGCGTGGTCATTCCCCGGTCGAGCCAACCCATTACCATAATATAGCTGTAGCGTGGCTCTACCATATATCGTAATTTCCTGAACGCTGCTCAGCCGAATTGAAACTGCATATATCACTTACTTACTCGTAATCTATGCGAAAAACACTGATTAAAAAAAAAAAACGTTAAACAAATGTTGCTGCAGACAAAACGACATAAAGTCGAGAATAAATACTGGAATTGAATTGGGAACTAATCGGATTTGTTTGGTTGGTTTTGTTACATTATTTATCTTTGTGTTGTATCCAACCAGGATTACCTGTATTCGCGTGCAACTGGATAAAATGTTTGCAATCAATGCAACGTAAAATAATATTTACGAATCAAATGTCCGAATTGAAAATCGCCGGTGGTAAACTATTTGACCTCTTTGGTCGTACGCGGTAGAAAACTCCTAGTAAAACGTACAGCGGTGGACTGCCAAGCATCCAGATGGTGTAGATGGTATCGGAAGTTTGGCACAGGACAGGATTATAGTGCCCAAGTGTATGCGCAAGCACAGGTGTACTCTCTATTCCTCACTATTCCCTCACTCTCATAATCCGATGGAACGGTTAACCGACACGGCCGGAGAGAGATCAGGCGCAGGACCAACGGCTTTACGTGCTTTACAACATAGCTACAACTATACTAGTAATATAACTGCAGCATGGCTCTACCACGTAAACTTCTATGGGCTTCCCGAGAAAATGTACAATTGAATCACCAGTTTTCTTGCAGATTGGAGTATGGCGGCGCAAGCTCCGATTACAAGCCTATTAATGCTGGTGTTCCACAATGCTGTGTTGTATCACTTCCGCTGTTTGATATGTTGCAAACCAGTAACATTCATTGATATGCGGACGTAAGTACTGTTGATGGTTTATACGCCGGCAAATGTTAGCACGTTATATTTCTCGGTAAAAGGCAAGGCTAAATTGACCTCTAAAAAACTTTGCGTGCTCAGCAGGGTGGAGCATTACTTCATGTCAGCACAGCAAATGTAGATATCTGTGGGTCACAGCATCCACTTTTCATCAGGCGAACTGTGTACTCGTTTGTTGTTACTCTTATTTTATATAAAAAAAAACCGGCTGCAACTATACAAGGTGCAGATTCGACCTCACATGGAATACTGTTCTCATCGCCACTGAGGCCGGGGTTCTCCGGCTCCTTCCACATGATCGCATCCAGCGCATAGCGACCGACTTTTTATAATCGCCTCAATCCACTGGCTTTTGATGTTGCTAGCATTTGCATTTTCTATTGCAATTACCACAACATCATCAATGCACTTCTCGACAAAACTCACGTCATCTTGGCGATCCACTACTGTGCGATTTACTAGGAGTTTTCTTCCTCGCACGACTACTTTGTAGAATCATTTAAAATCGGCGATTTTTCCGAACCGATACGATTTAGGGGCCTTCGAAGAACAATCTTACTCCTTTTGAAAAGGCCGGCAACGCACCTGTAATTCCGAGGGTGCTGCAGTTGTTCATGAGCGGCGGTCGACACTTCAACAAAAAATAGATGTGTAGCATCTTTGTCGATGCTTGCCATAAACGGTCTAGTTATTTAACTTCTGGCGTAAACAAAATGTTACAGCCATCTTTGGAAAACCATAAGTTTTTTTTAGAATTTCATATAGTTGCTTCTTTTGGCGCCAAAAAATACGACACGAGGTTATAAATATCACTTCAGTCTTTCGAACATCAAGCTTAAGTTTGCTCAAAAGTAATTTGAGGAATATCCCCATAACTAATCACATCATCTGCAAATATACCTCATAATTACGAAGAGGTATCAAGACAATGAAAAACTGATTTTAAGCTTTAAATATCATTAACATCTTTTTGAATAAACACTTACTTACAAACATGATTACTCGGAGACTAAATATGAAGAACAATAAAAAAGTAAACGCCTATTTAAATATCAAGAAAACATAATAAAATAATATAAATTATTTTATTTTAATATCTAATTTTGTAATTATAACTGATTATTGTACCTTAGAAGTCATCTATTTTTTGTGTGTGTATTACACGAAGGTCTTCACAGATAAACTTTTACAAGTTTTGCATTTAGTGTTGTACTCGTAATCTAGTGTATAGTATTGTAATCCTAAGCTAAATAAAATTAAATAAATTGCTAAAAGTCAATATCACTATTTGACAGTTATATAACCGTCATTAAACAAATAAGCATTCAATAATATGAATGCTCCTTAATTGTTCATATTAAAATAACGATTGTTTTCAGTAATTCAAACGACATCGTTGTTTGATTTGAAATACAGAAATTTCTCAAACTAAAACAATCAAATATAAACATCAAAAGAATAACATAAGTATGTTTACAATCGCTACTCTTAAACGGCGAGAATTTATTTTTTCACGTGTTTTTTTTAATAGAATAAGGGTGACAAACGAGCATACAGTCCACCTGATGGTAAGTGGATGCTGTGACCCATAGACATCTACATTTATCCTCGATTAAGAATCAAAACGCAGATGCGTTGTCACCACTGAGGACTAAGATGGAATGCCTCGTTTCGAGTAAAAAGGGGTCTCCGGATCTCTACACTCACCATACGAAACACAGCAGCATTATGCTGCTATTTTATTAGTGTACTATGAGAGAGTGGGCCTTCGCCGGTCGAGCCGACTCATTCGTGGTACAACCATAATATAGGTGGAAAGTGGCTCTACCACGTGTAAAACCACGTGATTATTTTGTTTAAAGAAACATAAAATAACTAACTTAGAAATCTAAGGAATATTTATGTTTCCCAATTCCATGTTGAACTAGCTGAGAATACTAATACTACTAGACTCATTCGGAAAG